AGAGGATATTGGTTGTGTCCCAGGAGATCACGGGGAGAACGGCTATAGAAATTTTTTATTACTCTAAGCTTGATTAAATTGTAATGTGCTGAAATCCTCTCCACCCCCACCAAAACATTTCATGAATGATAAAATAAGAGCCATGTACTTTTAAAGTATTTAAAAATTACCTGAGTGGTAAGCTGTATTTTTATCTCACCTTTACAAGCTTAAGTACTATCTGATTTAACAACAGACAACAAATATTAAGCATTACATTAGATGAAGATTGCTTTTGCCTGAAAGGAGTTTCCTACAACTTGAATTCTTGCAGAGCTAATGCCCTGAAGTTTAGAAGATCTAACATGTCTGTGTTTTTGTTGCTATTAGCATTACTGTCCTTGTTCAAAGAATGCTTAGTAGTCCAGTCTGAATTAAGATCCTACATAATACACAAACATAACAAAAATATGGCTCTGTGTGGAGTTTCTAATCCATTATAAAATGCATTAGTATGAAATGCAGTAGATAAATTCTTAAGCAGACTTGCTTTGTAAATGAAGAGGGTGGAAATGAAAGAGTTCTAAAATACAGTCCAAATTAAAGACCTTTAGGAGGACATTGTCAATTTAGCAGTCAGCATCTCTTAAACTGAAAAGTTTATCTACTACTTTTATAAGTAAGTAATCCTATGTGGAAATATTACTGGGAGGCAGAGGGAACTGCAGAAGAATACAGTGCACAACAAACAACCTTGTAACGATTTCATGGGCAATTTTGGTCGGAGATCCCTACCTGGTAAAGACAAATGCAACCACTTTTCCCAAACTCCCACAGGATTCTCTGACTCTTCCAGCCTGAATCCCTGCTTTTAAGGACCTAAATATGCAAGTGCTAAGTCTGCCTGCTTGGAGAAGTCATGGAGGTTTCCCTAAGAAGTGAAATACCAGGGCTTCCTTTCATGTCCTCAAGTGCCCCAGCAGTATCACTCTGCTCCTGCAGACTCAGAATGGGCAACTTTAGGATGGCAGGGCAGTCACTGCAGGCACACAGCTTGAGCCTAGCACACTGCACTGCTCCAGAGCCTGTGCCTTCAACCTCTGTGCAGGAACAAATGCACGTGCAGCAGGATCCAGAGCAGCACTGCAGGCCTGTCCAGGCTGAAAAACAGCAGAGGACAAGTCACAGGCTC